ATTTCAGTCGTCCTAGAAAGTCAAAATTCTGAAATTTTCTAGTCAAATGCAAAACTAACATACGACGACTGAAATATCAGTCGTCTAGATTCTTAAGATATTTTTTTGTAGCCAAAATAAAGTAGAAGACTGAAATTTCAGTCGTCTCTGGAAACAAATTGCAAAAATAACTTCTGCGTTGACTGGACGAAAGCAGACGACTGAAATTTCAGTCGTCTGGACGAACAGATCGCAAAAAATAACTCGATTTCATACCTTCAATTGGTGAGAGCACTTTCTTTGACTATATGAACCCTAGAAAATGTAGAATCAAGCACTCAGAAGCTCAAACGAAGGTAATCCACCCTGAATCTTTAATTTCTTTGACTATATGAATCCTAAAAAATGTAGAATCAAAATCTTGGGTTTTTTAGCTCATTGTAGAGAGAAAGTGAGAGATATGTGTTGTAATGTGTTGTTTAGTTCATGAGAATAGAGAAAGAATAATGGTAAATGGAATTTGGAGACATTAAGAGCTTCAAAATTGGTTGTTCATGGTTGTTGGAGTATTGATGACAATGGCAATCTTGTAATTACTTGAAGATGATGAGAGTGAGATAGTAAATATGTTATTTTCGAAAAAAAAATAAATTGATGGCATTTTCGTGAATTATATGAACTTGTGGAGTGAATTGGGCAAAAAAAAGTTCCAAAAAAAAAGAAGGTTAGTTTTGTGGTTGACTTCAAGTTTCAGATCAATTCTGCAAAAAGCCCTAATAATAAATAGCTGCCCATGTTCATATTTTGGGGGATCATATTCATAATCAGTATAGTTAAACGTATTTATTATTACCACTAGGATAAGGTAAAGAGCATGGTGAATATATGTAACTGAAAGATAAAATTTTAGTATTGACAAATTTAATATTTACATATGATTGTTTTTATATGTATTTGAAATTTTAGAATTTTGGATTTTTTATATAACTATATATACGTAGGATCAGATACAATTGTAATTAGAACTGTAGATCAAAGCTTAGAATTTAGTGGACCCGATTTCATATATCTTTTCACTTTTCAGTGTTCGAGTGAGGAAAAATAAACGGAGTGTAACTGGACTTGATTGGTAGAGTATTAGCAAGTTCCCTAATGCTTTCTTAAGAAACAGTTGGTAGAATATTTGCATTTAGAATATATAAAGATTCAAAACTATTTTAATATAATCTATTTATTTGTCTAATAATATTAGAAAATTATAGTTTTTACAAATCATTATTTTTTAAAATAATTTTTTTTTAAAATAATTTAAATTTAAATTATTTTTAAAAACAATATTTTTTTCAAATAACAATTAACAATTTAAAATTAATTATGGTAATGATTTAACATAACCATAATGATTAAAAAATTAAAATTAAAAATTAACTCAGTTTTATATCATGATTTAACAATTTAAAATTAGTTATGGTTATGAGGAGTTTACGTTCACGTATCAATCCTATTTATCTTCAATTTTTTCTCTTGTTGTGTTTTTTTTTGTTATTATTACTCGATATAAATATTGATTTTGAAGTTTATTCTCATTTTGTTTGTTTGTTTTGACTTGTATTTAGAAAATACTTAAGAATTAAATCAATTAAAGAGATACATACTTAGGTTAAGATCTGCCCTTTATGTACAATAAATATTTTATATTTATTATTTATTTTATATTTTCTGAAAATTATAAAAAGAATAAAAAAAGAAATATATATTAAACAACTAAGAAGTCAGTTACTATTATTAGTAAATTGACATATGCATATAAATTTTACTATCACTTTTTTCTTGCAATTAGGGTAAATCGAAACAATCAAACTTATATATCGTATATGATATATAATTAGATTTAAATGATATACATAATAATATATCACACTTTTAATATGAATATTTATCAAATGAGGTTTCTACTCATATGATTTTATGATTATTTGCATATTTGTGTAACAAAACTTTACACCAATGAATATTTTTTAGTGTTAGATGTTTGGTAGTTTCAATAATTTATAATCATTTTAAAAAAAACAATGACATGTTTCAAAATTAAAATATTAACTTTTCAATATATGCTCAATGCAAATATCAAAATATATGTATGTATTTTTCATACGATGTATAGTCTAATTTAAACGATATGAAATATGTATTTATATATATATATGTATATATATTAATATAAAACCTATTAAAATAAAATTATTTTTTCATATGGTCTTATAATTATGATATTTTAATATAGAAAAAATTTAAACATTGATCCTAAAAATTTATATGAGACTTTTAACAGTTTTAGTAATTTATACTTGTTTTGCAAAATTCGAAATACAACATACACAAAAAAATCTAGATTTTTATTATATGATTAATGTAATTGTGTAATTTATTTTAATAATAAAGAAATAAACAAAATGATAAAAAAGTATACAGATTGTTATCAAATGTTTATTGTTTAAAATCATTAATTGTCATATATATATATTAATTATATTAGGTAATTCCGTAGGTTTTATTTAAGGAAAACTTGCGAAACAATAAATATTTGATATATGCGACCAACTATAGCCTACAAAATATTATATTGCTATAGAGTATAGAGTATAATTTTTAGACTATACTTTAAGTTAGAAGCTCTAAAATCATTATATTTTAAAATAGAAGACATAGAGAAGTGCCACATAGGATTATATTATTTTTTAATTAATACAAATTTAAGGTTGCATCTTTTCAAATGTTTCTTAATTAATATGTAGAGGATAAGTACTTTAATTTTAGTTATAATATAGCCCGTTGTCAAAAAAAAAGTTATAATATCTATCTATAACGATAAAGTTGGATTTTTTTCTCTACTTGGGGAAAAAAATGCCATCTGTCACGATATTTTGTTTGGGCTTGCATTTTTGATTTATAATTTCGTATGGGCTTTAAATTACATTCCAGACCCAGAACTGACATTGGTTAATTACTTACTTTGCACTTTGCAGCTGCTAGCGTCTGCCGACTGAAGATTTTGTGATCGTCGATCGCCTTTATGATTTCTTCTCTGTAAGGAGGAGACGCTGAAACTGTAAGAATCTTTGCGAAGGTTAAGATTCCGGCGGATTTAACGGCGAATGGGAAGGTTTACAAGGTTTGGCAGGTTGGACCACCCAACGGGAGGATACAGCCACACGATTTCAACACTCGGATTCTTAACACCGTTGAATCGCTTGATTTTAGTGGCCCCACTACAGGAGTAACTGCGTTCGGCGGCGGTGCAGGAAACTCAAGGATTCATAAGAGAAAAGTGAGTTTGTTTCTAATTTTTGAAACCCATATTCTCTTATAAGAATTAACAATTTTGAATATGAATCTGACAGATCCATGGGATATTGAATGTGGTGAGTTGGGGGATTTTGTTTCCGATTGGAGAAATGGTAGCAAGATACATGAGAATATTTGAATCCGCAGATTCTGCTTGGCTTTACCTCCACGTATCATGTCAGTTCTCTGTTTATGTTATCGGTGTTACCGGATGAGCCACCGGACTCAAGCTCGGTTCCGAGTCTAAATGAATTCAGTTCTCTGCTTATGGCACTGCTCTCTTTGCTATGGCCACGCTTCAGGTAAAACAATGCTAATCCTCATTAGATTCAATTGTGTGGAAAAACGTGTCTTGGCCGATAGAAAAAGATGTGTTTGTCTGTTGTTGAATTGTGTTTGTGTTTTTTTTCAAGATATTTGCAATGCTGTTGCGGCCACGGAAGGACAACAAGTTAAGATTCTTTTGGAATAGCTACCACCATGGAGTTGGATGCTCTATCCTTATCCTTGGAGTCATCAATGTTTTCAAAGGTCTTAGCATATTTAACCCAAAGCATACTTACAAAACCGCTTATATCGTTGTTATTGCGACTTTAGAAGCATCACTTTGCTCCGAGAAGCTGTAACTTGGGTCATTGTCCTTAAGAGAAAATCTGCTAATTCGAATAACCCTCCAGAGGCCTGAGTAATTCAATGGATGCTATTTTATCTCTTAAGTTACAAATTCGTTGTTTCTCTCCCAACTTTTGATTCATCTCAAGACGTTGCTTGTGTTTGATGATGATGACTTTTTGTGTTCATGTATAGTAGGAGAAAAACCTCATGTATTAGTGTTTCTTCTTTATAGCTTTGTCTTTTGTTTCCTCTGTTTATGTGACTGTGATTCAGAAGTTTTATATGGTAGGATTATTTTCATCACTCATTTTTCGTTAATTACCTCCTAATAAGTTGAAAATTGATTACAAATTCAAACAACTATAAAATCTACGTGCTTGCCTTCCGGCTTGACTTGTTGGAGGCACAAAACTACTGTCATAAGATTCTTATTTTTCGTATTGTCCACCTACTACCGAATCAATTTTAATTGTCTTCTTTTTGTTTAACTCACACAACAATTTTTATTGACCAAATCATAGAACCGAAATTACATCCTTTTTTTTCGGGTAACCCCACATTACATCCTCTACAGTTGTTAACCCTACATACAATACTGAAATCTAATATCACTTAAGATTACTGAGTTGGATCCTATACTATCCAATGGATACGACATTGCATTTTTCACCACTAGAAGAACAAATTCATTTTAAGATTCGAAATAAATCGTCTTTTAAACCATCTAATTCTACCTTAAAAATAGAATACAAAACATATTCTTAACTAACAACATCCTATAATGAGAGTTTCATTATAGTAGAAAGTAGAAACTGGAGCTACAAATCAGAATGTTAAGCACGGTCTTTTAAACCATCTAATTTGGGAGCTATATCACTTCCCAAATTGTCGTTAAAAATAAAAGATTTTAGATGAAAACTAAGGTTTATTTAATTAGTAACTCATACACATTACATCTATAATTTGGAATGAAAACACATACAACAAACTATGAGTTACAATATTTCAAAGTTAATAGACAAAGACATTTAATATAAATAGTTTTAAATTTATAATAAATTCTAAGGTATATATTTAAATATATATTCAAATAAAAACTGTAATAGATATATTTAAAATTGTAGAACAAAAATCTCTAGTAACCCGGGCAAACCCCTAGTAACCCTAATAATAAGGGATATTTTCTCTTACCTAGACCTCATTAATTAGCTACTTAATCTATGGGTACGAATGGTGGTATTACCACAGCATCGCTGTAAATGATAATAAAAATCTCTACATATATCTATGTATCTATGGGACATTTTTGAGATTTTGAGAAAGCTTTTTCCGAGATGAATAATCGAATGATACTTGAAAAGCCATATCGATCGACGGTCACCAATAATAATCAATCGACGCAAGTCCATTGCCGTCAATCGATGCTGAAACCATTCGAGACTTAATGACAAATTAGAAGATTTCAAGTTTCACAAAAGTTTCATTAATTGCATTAAGTCCATGGCCGCCTGTTAAGCTATATTATGAGGGTTTTATACTACTTTAGAGGCAGACTTGCTTAGAGACCTTTCTAAACCTAATTTGGTGAAGAGCAATTTTGGTTACCATTGAGAGAGAGAACATAGGATTTTGGAGAGACAGATATGTTCTTTAACTTACTCGACCAACTTTTGTATGAATCTAGTCAGTTAGATCAAACTAGTTTAGTTCATGTATTGAGGGAAACTATTGATTATTTCAATTAATTCTAAGATCCAAATTTAAGGATGATTCAACCTAGTTGTACTTAATGCTAAATTTAGGATTGATCACCCTTAAATTTAGATCTTAGAATTAATTGAGATAATCAATAGTTTCCCTCAATACATGAACTAAACTAGTTTGATCTAACTGACTAGATTCAAATAAAAGTTGGTCGAGTAAGTTGAGAACAACATCAAACCCACTCCCAAAGCTTGCTAGAAGAGTCGTCGATCAACGCAACTATCGTTGTGTCGATCGATATCTTGAAAGGTTTATAGATCGATGTTCATAAGGACATATCGATCGACACTTTCTCGTGATCAATAAACGACTGTTGAGATCCGAGATCTAGACAAAGGAAACCTTATTGGTTTCATTTAAAGTTTGAGTTCATGAGCAAATTAAACCTTGAAGTTCAAATCAAGTCACATACCTTTCAAGCCTGAGATAATACATGAATCTAGCTACTTTCCGAACTGATAACAACTTCAAAACAAGCTATTGAACCACTACCTTGTTTATCTCATTTATTTACTGTTTTAAACCATTAAACCATTCTAGTCTAACTTTATTTTAAATACTATAATCTATTGTATCATCCTAGAATCTGATTCGATCCCTAATTACTACATGAACCTCTTATTTGAGAGAGTAATTCACTACTTAAAGTAATTTGAGTGATCTCACACACCTAGTAATAAAAATCTAATGGGAAACATCAGATTTTCTTTTAAAACAATCATTCAAATATTTTACATCTTTTACACAGTTACACTTCGGGTCATCTATATCATTTTAAACACACGTATAAGACAATTATTAGTTAGTAATTTTCTTACTTGGGTAATCTATCGATAATGATAACACAAAAAATGCTTTTATTTAATATAATTATAAAGTAAAATTAAAAATAATTTAGATAAACAAAATAGAATAAAACTTATCCATAAAAAAACTTATAAAAAGTAGTATCAGTTGTAAAGACAAATTCACATAAGTGAACACATAAACATATATCTTATGATGAAAACATACTTTAAATATATAAAAAAAATAAAAAAGATATATTTTCAAGATTAATATATATTAATTAATAAAATATGTCAGGCTTATCATTATTAATTTATAATTTTTTTCTTGTACTTACATTATTGTAAAAATTTTAAAATAGTTATAAATATTTAATTAATCAAATTTCACAAACAATTTTTAAAAAGCATCAAAATATTAATATTGCATACCTTATAACTATTGTAAAAATAAATTATAATTATAATTATTTCATTAGTAAAATGTTACCAATATTTTTTAAAAAGATCAAAATATTATATCTTTTTAAACAATATAAATTAAACATGTATAACCAATTTTACTAAAATTGTCAATAAAATATTTTAAAATAATCAAAATATTATCTTTTTAAAACAGAATAACTAAATGAATAAATATATAATTGTGCAATCTTGCACATTTATAACTTATTATTTAAACCAAATACTGTAACTCAAGATTAAAAGGGTCATAAATATTTTCATAATTAATGATACTATTTTACCTACACTATTGGTAATTTTTAAAATTATAAGTAATTATTTGAACTCATACTAACAAATAAAGGAATTAAGAAATTTGATTGTATCAATATATTCTATTTTTAATATTCACAGAAATTTATTTTTTTAGGAATTATAAATTTGATAATCAAATAGATAATGCGAAATCAAAGGTAATCATTATTATATTATTTATTTTGTTAGTCATATTTGAGGGTTAGGGCTGGGACTATCCAGAGTCTCTGGATCCGATTCGTGATTCGCTCCGAAAATAGGATATCTTGGGTCTCCAGATCCGGATAGTAAAATTTTGGATCCGCCCAAATCGAATCTGGATATGGATGTCATAATTTTCAGGTCCAGATATCCGGATCCATGTTTCTAAAATATTATTTAATTTTAATAATAATTATTATATTTGCTATATTATTATTTATACATAAAAATTAGTTTTATAATATTATTATTTAATTTTAATAATATTATATGTCATAAATATATTTATAATTTTTTTATAAATATTTAATTCATGTAATATTGTAGAATTTTGGTATTTTATTTTTTTTTAACTTTTTTTACGAATCCGAATGTAAATCCGAATATCCGCAGATATCACAATTTCTAGACGGATATCCGAACTCCGGATATCCAAAAAATACATATCTGAATCCGGGTACTAAAATCACGGATCCGACGAATTTAGATTCACATACTCTAAGTTTTCCGTATATCCGGATCTGTCCCACCCCTATTTGAGGAAGTGTTCCAGTTTATAATATAAGGTTTGTTTTCTTGAATAGATGATTTTATTAAACCATGCATATACAATATCATCAAATACTAGACCAAAAGAGGAACTAGTATTAGTAGTGTGTAAACTTCATAAAACATTTGTGACATGTGCCAAATACACCACTAGAAAAGCTCATATATAATACAGCATGATCTCTCTCATGGAGGAATCACACTTACAAACATAGCCATGCCCAGTTACAAAAAAGCAAAAAAAAAACATAGCCATGACCAACCACAAAAGGCCACAACAACACAAATGTCAGTTTCTAGGAATTTCATCCCTTTAGAAAATAAAAGTGATTAAATACGGAAGAACCAAAAAATCATATATATATAATGAGAGAGTTTTTGCCTCTCCCTTAAACAGCCACGTCAGCTTTGTGGGCCCCACCTCTGTTTTGATTCAACTTGCGTGCTGTTTTTGAAGTCGTGTGCCGTTTTAATTTTACTTGCGTGCTGTTTTTATTTTGGCTGATGTTTTGTTTCTGGTGTGGGCTTTACTTTTCCAAAGCTAAACTCTCGGCCCATTAGATTCTTCTTCCATATTCTTGGTCGACTCCCGACCGTTTGCATTCCGATGAACCGTTCTACATACACAATCTCTTCCACTCCTCTTCCAATCTCTACCCAAAAAACGCCTGATCTTCAATTAACCCGTTCTTGATCCTCGTATATATTTATCGTGATTTGTCATTTGTCTTTGCACTTTCGACTCCACTGATTTATTCGATAAACATTGATACCGCCGTAATGTAAATGGCTTCATCAGATGCTCAAGTCATCAAGGACGCCGCTTACTCCACTTTCGCATCTTGGCCTTGGAAGAACAGGTCAAACAGACAGTTTTTGCTCGCGTGATCGGCTTCTGAGATACCCAAAACGAGAATGGAGAGTTCATCCTATTGGTAAACCAAAATCTT